ATCTGTCGTACTTCTTTCCAAAAACACAAGATCCGGTTCCCCCTCGAGTTCAGAGCTCATAAGTCAAGTTTGCCCTGCGTCTAAGCCCTCAACTGCGTCACTTCATTCCTCGCTGCATAACCTCGAAACCTCGTCTACTGCGTGTACTCGTCGATACCGTCTCGACGAACCTTTCGACTTCGGCTATTGTCGAAGAACTGCGTTGCACCTCGAACCACGTCCTAGCTAAGTCCACCCTATCGAATCGTGTCTCTTCCCTCTATGATACATCGAAGAGCTCTGCCGAGCTTCGATCGTCTCCACTAACCACCCACAGCCTCCGAGTAGCTTCGACAACGTGTCGAGCCACCTCGTACCTTCCCTAGTGTTCGTAGCCTTTTCTGAAGGCGTTTCTCGTGTTCACTCGAACCACGGGACACCTTGCTGCTAACTCCCCTCTCACTAAGACTATAATCTGTCTCTCTAGTCCCTTTAGGTCGCACCCAGGTTAGGGGTTAGGGTTTCGTAGGTCGTATCATTTCTGGAGCCCACCGCGAGGGGATCTCAGGCAAGAATTCGCCGCTTTCGGGTTTCCGAAAACATCTCCAGTACTCACCCGCTCGCAAGCGCGTGAGGCTGCTAGTCGCAGCGCCGCCGAAAACCTCGACAGCTCCTCTCGAACGCACTCGACTCCCTCTCCAACAATTCCCGGTAACTTCGACCGCGACGAAGAAGACGAGATAGACCAAGAACTCCAGGACGACTTCGACGAAGAACCGATCCCTTCGACCGCCGAAGAACGCACTTTGTCCCCCGAGCTTCTAGGCCTCACTACTTCCGACTACGCCACTTCGACTCCTGATCTTTTCGACCAATCCGGTTCTTCGCCCGAACCCGAGGATCCCATCCCATCTACTTCGAATCTCGTACTTCCGACTCCGTCTTCTTTTCGCGCCCACGCTCAGCCGCCCATCGCATCCTCTTCGCGACTTTCAGTCATACCTACATCCGACCTGGCACCTCCGCCACCATTGGCACCTTCGAACGCAGCTTCGAACTCCAACCCCGCATCGCCCGCACCTACGAATCCTTCGACTACTACCGCATCCTCTTCGAGCCCAGCTCCTACTAACACTACGAACATGAGTCAGAACACGAACACACCGTTGATGCCCCCGTGCGGTCATTCGACGGCACCGAGCTTCGACCCATCGGAAGTCCGTTCGCTTCGGCGTTACTTCCAGGACCTCGAGGCGTTGTTCACCCAGTGTCAGATTACTGATGACACGGCCAAGAAACAGTGGGCCGTTCGGTACCCTTCGATCGACGTCGCCGACTTATGGGAAACCATCGAGTCCTTCATCGACGTAACCAAGAGCTACAACGACTGGAAGGCCGACGTACGAGCACTCTATCCTGGTGCCGACGATACAAGAAAGTGGTCGCTGGCAGACATGGATCAGCTCATCGGAGAACGCGCTCGTATCGGGATTCACAATGCGGCAGATCTGGGCTGCTATTACCGTGACTTCATGGCCATTACGAAACATCTCATTGCACAGAACCGACTCTCCCCTATCGAACAAAGTCGCGCATTTCTTCGAGGATTCCAGCCAGCGTTGCTCACATGGCTCGAGACCCGACTGCATCTCAAGCACCCCGATCACTACGCCGACGACCCATCACCATGGCAGAAATTCATGCTGCGGCTACGTTCATTTTACACGGTACGTCGAGCACACCTACGACAGCGGCGAACCAAACTATCGCTTCGACATCGAACACTTCGACAACGGTGCCCCCTGGGATGATCAAAACCGAAGACATCTCGATGATCATCGAAAGCCTGTCGAGGACGATCACAACACTCATTCAGCCGACGACGCACGCTACACACAACCATGCCCCCGCACCGAGACAACAGGCTGCTGTCCACGTCCACGAGAACACCGGAGCTGAACAGACGTGCCACTACTGCGGCAATCGCGGCTGCAGGGTAGGCACCTGTGAGTTTGCGGAGATCGACATTCGGGACGGCAAGTGCAAACGGAACACCGAAGGCAAGATCGTTCTTCCAAACGGAAGTTTCTGCCCCCGCACTATCCCTGGTCTCACAATACGAGATCGAATCTACGAGTGGCATAGAAGAAATCCCGCAGTACCAGCTGCTCCGACAATGCTCTTCGAGATCGACGATCGCTCGACTGTGCAAACGTTCACGCTCAACACCAGTGGCAGGATCGAGGCGCTCGAACGAGAACTCCTTCAGCTTCGGAAGCGAAGGGAGGTCTTCGACGGCGTTGAGATTCTACAGCGGAAGAAGCCTACGACGACAGCCATCCCGAGGAGCGCGGAAGCCTCTGGATCTGGTACATCGAAAGGAGTGGCGGCACCCCCGAGCACTTCGACAAGCACGGCCCCGCCTCCGACGATACCAGCAGCAGCACCCGCGTCGTCTTCTTCCCCGCCTACGCAATCCACGTCTCAACCTATTGCTACATCCGCTCCCCCAGCACCACCAGTACACCCCTTTGCAAACGCTCGCGATGCAACCTACGCCCCGCCGAACGTTCGGAACTTCGCAACTCCGCCGAAGCCCTCGAACGACAAGGGCAAGGAACCAGCGTACAAGACCATCGTCCCGGTTATCCAGCCGAAGCTCGCCGAAGAAATCTTCCAGCGTTCGATGAAGTCGCAGTTTGTCACGCTGACCCCAGAAGAGTTGCTGTCGATCGCGCCCGACGTTCGAACCAAGTACCGCGACGCCGTCACCCCTAAGCGAGTCTCGACGGAACCCGTCGCGTCGGCCCACATCGTAGAAATCGGCGCTGACGAGGTCATGACCGTCAACCAGCTCTCGTGTTCGGGTGCAACGTTGGAACCCGGTGCTACAATCGTCCCCGACCCCTATGAAACATATCTGAAGCACATCCCTCACGGCGAGCACCCCGCAGAATTCACCGTCGCCCGCGATTCGAACGCGATTCGTTCGATCATCGCGTTGATCGACAACAAAGAGCAGATCGAATGCATCGTCGACCCAGGTTCGCAGATCGTCGCCATGTCGGAAGAGGTCTGTCTGGGCCTCAACCTCCTCTTCGATCCTACTATCCAGCTGAACATGCAATCGGCGAACGGCGAGGTGGACCGATCGCTGGGACTCATTCGAAATGTTCCCTTCCGCATCGGTGAGATTGTATTGTATCTCCAGGCTCACGTCATTCGAAACGCAGTGTACGACATCCTCCTCGGCCGACCCTTCGACGTGCTCACGCAGAGCGTCGTCAAGAATTTCGCCGACGAGAACCAGACCATTACGATCCTCTGCCCGAACACCGGCGAAACCGTCACGATTCCGACGTACGCGCGAGGAAGATCGCGAAGCCGGCAGCACTCTCTCGGGTGTCGCAAATCGCATTTTCTAGCTTCGAGGAATTGATTCCCCATGATCAAGGAGAAGCCGCGCTAGTCATCGACTACGATGGGGTAAAACCAAGTATTTCCTTCGTCTCTCCTATTGATTCCTCGACTCCGAACACTGTTTCGTCACTGTATCTCTCCGCATGCACCTCTGTTTCATCATATTTGCAGTCTCTTTACGCTTCGGACAATACAGCTTCTAATGCCGCTCCGTCGAACGCTTCGACGTGGGCTTCGACTCTTCTATTTTCAGCTCCGTTCGCTTCGACTCCGCCAGCTCCCGTTCCGGCGAAGTCCATCTCACAGTTTTCCAACTCGATTCTCCCCTTTCCTTCGACGACATCGACTTCTACCCCTTCAACGCACAAGATACTCGCCGCGACGAAGAAAAAGTACAAGCCTGTCGCTCTCAAAACCCGACCCGTCCTTGGTGCCGTCCCCAAACAATTTCGAATACTTCGAGACATCAAGGGCGACCCTCTATCCATCATGCCTAAGCTTTCGACCGACCCCCCACCGTTCAAACCTACCGGTCGGTACACCCTCGAACGCTTTGAAACGACCGAGAAGCTTCACGGCGGCGACTTCCTACTTCCCGACGAACGTTGAGTCCTCCACCACTTCATGTGCCTGCACAACGAAGCCTTCGCATGGACCGACGACGAGCGCGGATGCTTCAAGCCCGAGTACTTCCCCCCCGTCGATTTCCCCGTTGTTCCTCACACGCCCTGGGTGCAGAAGAATATCCCCATTCCGCCCGGGATCTACAACGAAGTCTGCGCGGTGATCAAGCGAAAGATCGCCGCCGGAGTCTACGAACCATCGAACTCGTCGTACCGATCGCGGTGGTTCTGTGTCGTCAAGAAGGACGGTAAATCTCTTCGACTCATCCATTCCCTCGAGCCCCTCAATGCAGTTACGATCCAACATTCCGGTGTACCGCCGACGCCCAAATACCTCGCAGAACAATTCGGAGGAAGACCATGCGGCGGCATGCTCGACCTCTACGTCGGCTACGACGAACGACTCATCGCCAAATCTTCGAGAGATCTAACGACGTTCCAGACACCCTACGGAGCCATGCGCCTAGTAACACTCCCGATGGGTTGGACGAACTCGGTCCCGATCTTCCACGACGACGTCACCTACATCCTCCAGCCCGAGATCCCGCACGTTACGGTGCCCTACGTCGACGATGTTCCCGTCAAAGGTCCCGAATCAGACTACGACGACGAACGGCTCCCTTCGAACCGCGGCATTCGACGCTTCGTATGGGAGCATTTCGAGAACATGAACCGCGTAGTTACTCGAATGCGCTACGCCGGAGGTACCTTTTCTGGAGTCAAGAGCGTCCTCATCGCTCGAGAAATCATGGTGGTGGGACATCGCTGCACTCCTCAAGGACGCCTCCCCGACGACTCTCGCGTCGCTGCGATACGCAACTGGGGTCCATGTGCTACTCTATCCGACATTCGAGCGTTCCTCGGAACCATCGGAGTCGTTCGTATCTTCATCCGTAATTTCGCTCACCGCGCCGACGCGCTCGTACGCCTCACGAGGAAGGACGTCGAGTTCGAGTTCGGCCTGGAGCAAATCACGGCGTAGGAAGACCTCAAGGATGCGCTACTCTCATCCCCGGCACTCCGAGCCATCAATTATGAGTCCCCCTCTCCCGTCATTCTCGCAGTCGACACGTCGTTCATCGCCGTCGGATATCACCTCTGCCAGTGCGACGAAGCCAACATGCGAGTCCGTTACTACAACAGGTTCGGCTCGATCACGCTCAATGATCGCGAACGGAGGTTTTCACAGCCGAAGCTCGAGATCTACGGCCTATTCCGCGCATTACGATCCCTTCGACTCTACGTGATCGGCGTTCGGAACCTCATCGTCGAAGTCGATGCTCGATACATCAAGGGTATGCTGAAGAATCCGGACATAGCCCCCAGCGCGAGTATCAACCGGTGGATCGTCTCGATTCTCACCTTCCATTTCACGCTAGTCCACATCCCCGGTACAATGCACGGCCCCGACGGTCTCTCTCGACGCACCGCTCAACCCGGTGATGTCATCGAAGGCGAGGTCGACGAAGAGTTCGACGATTGGATCGACCAGATGCACTCTTTCGTTCACCAGATTCAGCCCCTCCCGCCTGTCCCTTCACTTGCCATCTTCACCAATGACAGAGCCGAGGACGGCTCAGATTTCAATATGGAGGAGGATAGCTACGAGCTAGTGCCTCGATCGGAGCAAGCACAACTCGCCGACGCGAAGCTCGACGACGTGCTCGAATTTCATCGAACGTTAGCAAAGCCCGACAACATCTCCGAAAGCGTTTACGAAGGATTCATCAAGTACTGCATGCAATTCTTCCTCGACAACGACACCCTCTGGCGCAAGGACAGTCACGGAGCACACAAGCTAGTCGTCAAGCCCGGCGATCGCCTTCGAATACTTCGAGAATGCCACGACCGCACCGCGCATCGAGGAATCTACGCAACCCGAGCCTTCGTCAATGAGCGATTCTGGTGGCCGTTCCACTACGCCGACATTGCTTGGTTTGTTCGATCGTGCCATATCTGCCAGTCCCAACAAGTGCGTCAAATCCTCATTCCTCCGACCGTCGCAGTACCAGCCCCCATCTTCGCGAAAATCCACATCGACACAATGCACATGCCGGCCTCGGGCGGATACAAGTACTTGGTCCAAGGTAGATGCTCGCTCACGACTTACCCGGAGTTTCGAATGCTTCGAAAAGAGACAGCGAAGGCCCTCGCCGACTGGATCTTCGAAGACATCCTCTGTCGATGGGGCGCGCTCAGCGAGATTGTCACTGACAACGGTACGGCGTTCATCAAGGCGGCCGATTACCTTTCGAAGAAATACCACATCAATCATATTCGAATCAGTGGGTACAATTCGAGGGCGAACGGTCTCGTCGAACGTCCGCACTTCAGCACGCGACAAGCCTTGTTTAAGACAGCCGACGGAGATGAGAAGAAATGGTCCCAAGCTGCGTATTTTGTATTTTGGTCCGAGCGCATCACGACTCGACGACGCATGGGCTGCTCACCCTATTTCGCTGTTACGGGCACCCCTCCGCTCATTCCTCTCGACATCGTCGAAGCTACGTATCTGCAACCACCACTGACTTCGATTCTTTCGACGACTGATCTCATCGCCCGTAGAGCCATTGCGCTCCAGAAACGCGTTGAGCAAGTCACCGAACTCCACTCGAAGGTCTATGAAGCACGTCGAACTGCAGCAATTCGCTTCGAGAAAGAGCACGAGCACTCAATCCAGGATTTCGACTTCAAGCGCGGAGCCCTAGTGCTCATACGCAACACGAAGATCGAGAAGTCCCTCAACCGCAAGATGCGCCCGCGATATCTAGGCCCCCTCATCGTTGTCTCGCGCAACAAGGGCGGCGCGTACATCGTGTGCGAACTCGACGGTACAGTCCTCGATCGACCCATCGCAGCATTCCGCGTCATTCCATACTTCGCGCGCAAATCCATTCCAATCCCCGAAGATCTCGAAGATGTCTCGACCGAGCGTCTTCGAGAACTCGAACTATCGAATTCTCTAGGTGACGACGATGATGAAGTCGAAGAAGCCGAAGAACGCGACGAATAGAGGTTCTTCCCTTTTGTTACTTGTACAACATGATACGTACTTTCTTCTCTCCATTCCTGCTCTCACGTTACACGATATGCTTGATTTTCTCCTATGTTCTAGACCTGCCCTTGTACGAGTATTTTCGATTCAACTCGATAGTCGCGACATCGTTCGACGTTCTACGAACGCTTCGATTCGACCGTTGCGCGGAGGCTCACCTTAGACGAAGACCTCCTAGGCTGTGATGACAAACTGAGCCTATATTTTCATTAAGTCCATTTTCCCTCGCTACGAACATTTCTATTTCACCTTCTATGTTCTTCGATCACATTACGACTTGCTTTGAACACACTTATTTTCATTTCCTTTTTTAGTTCCCGCTAGGTTTCGTCTAGGCCAAAGGCCACATTTTCCATTCGACCATCTACGCGATATTCTACAACACGAGTACAACTACAATACAAAACGACTTGCGCCTAGTCATCGTCGACAGCCCCGCGCACGAACCCGATTCCTCCCTTTGCAAGCGCGGCCTTCTCCATCTTTTGGAGGTCGAGGTCCATGTCATGGAGGAGCGCTCGACGGCGAGCGATGAAGGCGCGCTCCTCGCGGATGACGCGAATGATCCCCCAAGATTCGTCGTCGAGGTCGAGCGCATCGAGGTCGTCCTGTTCAAGGCCAAGGCGGCCGGCCCCATCGAGAGGCAGTCGTAGCAGGGGGCGCGGAGGCTCGTCGACTCGACGCTTCTTCGATCCACTCGAGTCCGCGGCCGAAGGCACAGGAGAGGTCGGCCGAACTACTAAGACGTTAGCAAAGGTTAGGACACCCAGAGGGAACAACTTACTGCGCTTTTTCGTGGTTGATCCCCCGCCGCGCGTTTTCTTTGTCTTGCCAAGCACAGACACCTTGTCGAAGTAGCAGCCCTGCTGGAACTGCGCGCACCTCTCGCAGGTCGTGGCGTTCTCGACCCACACGCACTCGACAGGGGCCGAGCGGTAGCCGGCGCAACAATCACACTATCGAGGAGTTAGCATCAAACAGCTTCGACGAAGGGTCGAGCTTACCTTCTGCCCGGCCTGACGCTTCGCAAGCGCACCGGCGGCCATATCGACCTCCGTCATCGCGAACGGACGTTCGAGTGTCCGAGGAGTCTTCTACGAAAGAGAGATTAGCGATCGAATTACGACAGAAAAGAAAACTTACGACCGAAGGGTCATCCGACAACTCGGTGACCTCGTCGTCGACCCTTGCACGCCCTTTCCCCTTGTCGAGACCGGCAGGCGCGGAGTCAGCGAGGAGTCCCTCGGCGGCCGTGATCCTCACCAACTCCTCGTCGGCGGCCTCTTGTGCGCGACACTCGTCTTCGGCGACCTGCCTGAGACGGTCCTCTTCATCCTTTCGACAACGTTCGTCTTCGAGGCGACGGTCCTCGGCGGCCTTCGCACGCTTCGCAGCCTCTTCGACGTGTCGTGCTTCCTCCTCGGCGAGGCGCTTCTGCTCTTCGACGCGTCGTTCGACCTCGGCGTCGATGGCGGTCGCGAGCTCGGGCCAGTCACCGCGTGCCCACTCGACCCACGACTCCGACGCCCGCTCGGCGAGCTGTTTGACGGCGGCGGTGACGCGCAGCTCCGTCTCCTCGTCGCGGATGGCGCCCAGGGCCTTGTGATAGGCGAGCTGTTCGAAAACAAATGGTTAGTTGGGTTATGCAGATTACGGGCGACTTACGACGAGCGGCGACAAATCTTGCGCCCACTCTTCGACCACATCGAGCGTGGCGTCGGCGGTCGGCAGAGCCTCGAGGACCACGAGCAGAGCGGAGAGGCGGCGGTTGACGAGCGAAGGCGTCGATGCAGGGGTGGCGGAGCGAGAGGACATCGTGGAAGCAGAGGGTGTGCGAGGAAGGACGGCGAGGCAGCGACGAAGGAACGATGGGCTGGGGAAAATGAGGCTAAGTCTACCCTGCTTATAACCCCTTTTCGACCAGCGTTTAGCGCCGGCCACGTGGCGTTCGAAACCGACACGGGTTGTCATGCCGCTTCGATCCGTTCACGACCATCGCGCTTCTCGCATCACGTGGAGGACCGAGGGCGGTCCAAATTTCAATAAGGAGGAGATGATAGGCGCCAAGCCCCTCTGGGCCCCGATACAGCTCTTTTCGGCAGTCGCATCCCGCCCGGCACTTCGGCTCAGTCACCCAACACTTCGACTTCGCCTTCGACGCTCTTCGACATCTTCGACGGGGCACGACGCTTGCTCGAAGCTCGGCGCGGTCGTCCCGATGCCTCGCGCATAGATCTCGGAACACCTCCCGCATTCGGCGGACAATAGGGCCACTTGACGCCATTCGGCCAAGCGCGTGCATCGCTCCATGCCACACCGACGTAGCCGGTCTTCCCCGATTAGGTATCGAACCTCGCGGCATGCCTTCAACGACGGATACCGGTCCGAAGTGTCTCGCATGCTTCTCTTCATCTCCGCGTTCAGCATGACGTCACTCTACCGACAG